AGAGTCGAATTATATATTTTTAATAATATAAAAGTGTTCAAAAATTATATTTGACTTTTAATTTTAATTATTTTAGCAAAGAGTTCCGAAATCTCTTACACACATAATAGGGATTTTGTTCATCCATATAATTCGCAATTAAGTATATATGTTAATTATTAATTTTAATAAAATACAAAATTAAAATTAAAGGTCAAATATAATTTTTGAACATAAATATATTTAATTCGTTATAAAACGTATACCCGTGATAGTATTTTTCTCGTACAAAAATAATTAGAACAAATTAAATTACTCATAAAAAAATTAAAAAATAATTAAATAATTTATATTATATATGATAATAATAAAACATTTTATAAAAAAAACAGATTCAATAAATATAAGTATATATATAACATGTACTTATATTTATTGAATCTGTTTTTTAATAAAATGTTTTATAAGCTTAGAAAACTTGACTTTGACGTAACTAGCAAATTTTATTTAATTATTTCACGACGGTTTGACGTAATAAAATGTTTTATTATTATTATATAAAATATAAGTTTAAATTCTTTAAGGGGTTATACCTACCTGCAAGGTCTGAAAAACACGTATTTTTGGGAATTTTTTTTTTAAATATTTGAAGTGCTTTGGAAAGGAACATTTATGTTTTCAAATATATATATTTCAAAGATTATTTAGTATTTTTTTTATTGCAAAATGTTGATAAATAAAAAAGATATGCTTAATCTTCCAGAAGCAGTTTTTTGAAAAGCGTTTTGCGGTGACTTAATTACTTTTTAGTTTTTTAATAATTAATTTAATTTATTCTAGTCATTTTTATATGAGAAAAATAATATCACGTATACGTTTTATAATGAATTAATATATTTCGGGAACCGAATTATATATTCTTAATATGAATATATACTTAATTGCGAATTATATGGATGAAAAAAATCCCCATTATGTGTGTAAGAGATTTCGGAACTCTTTGCTATAAAATAATTAAAATTAAAAGTCAAATATAATTTTTGAACACTTTATATTATTAAGAATATATAATTCGGTTCCCGAAATATATTAATTCATTATAAAACGTATACGTGATATTATTTTTCTCATATAAAAATGACTAGAATAAATTAAATTAATTATTAAAAAACTAAAAAGTAATTAAGTCACCGCAAATGACACTCTAACTTTGAACTGGTTTACCAGAAATCAAAAAACCCGAGAAATTTAGTTAATATATAAGATTATCTAGTGCCCGATCGTTCATTTTTTTGAAAAATTAATTTGCGACAAAATGGCGGCTGTTCAAATTTGAAGGTATGATTTTGCTACCAAAAATTCGCTCGTTTTTTATTATTAAAAAAAAATACGCAACGAAAAAACAAAAGCCACGATCGGGCACTAGATTTTTTAGTATTAAAGATGTCTACCAAATTTTATTTCAATCGATGCAGCGGTTTTCGAGATATTTTGGTCACCGATTTTAAAAATGCTGTTTTGAGAAAAACGCATTTGAAGTTTCAAATTAAGTTCACAACCAAATAATATATTTATATATATTTATATATATTTATATATATTATTTATTTATATATATTTTGGCTTTGTATAGAGACCGCTTTTGTCCGCGTCGCAGCTGCCGTTCGATACCTGAGACCCGTTTCTGTACCCTGCTTCTAAACAGCAGGATACGTTCACACCAGTATACCTTTAAACTCACATAACTTCGTTAATTTTTGTCGAATCGACTTGAAATTTGCAGGGAATATTTTGAAAGTATGTACTTTAAGAAAATATCAAAATCCAAAAATCGATTTTTTTGAAGTTTGCAGGTAGGTATAACCCCTTAATTAATTTTTAATCTTTTATGATTAATTTAATTTACTCTAATTATTTTTGTACGAGAAAAATACTATCATGGGTATACGTTTTATAATTAATTTAATATATTTGTGTTTAAAAATTATATTTGACCTTTAATTTTAATTTTTATTTTATTAAAATTAATAATTAACATATATACTTAATTGCGAATTATATGGATGAAAAAAATCCCCATTATGTGTGTAAGAGATTTCGGAACTCTTTGCTATAAAATAATTAAAATTAAAAGTCAAATATAATTTTTGAACACTTTTATATTATTAAGAATATATAATTCGGTTCCCGAAATATATTAATTCATTATAAAACGTATACGTGATATTATTTTTCTCATATAAAAATGACTAGAATAAATTAAATTAATTATTAAAAAACTAAAAAGTAATTAAACGACTTAGACTTAGATGATAATAATAATGAAATATTTTATTAAAAAAAGATTCAATAACTAGTAGGTCAGGTTATAATTTTTTATTTATTTATTTATAACATTATGAGCTATTAAGCTCATCATCTCGTTCGCTCTCTGTCTTGCTTTCATTCGGCAAGTCACAAACGATATATGATACTCGTATGTTCCTACTTCAACTCTCGAGAATCTGAAACAAACGAAACTCGTGTCCAATATACAGGGTGTCCGGTAACTAACAGACCAATGATTACAAATGGATTCTTTGGTCAATTTGGGAACGATTTTTCCTCAGCGAAAATGTCGAAAAAGGTCATCATTTTTTACAACTTTCCAATCTTTGTCATTATGTATCTTTATAACTAAGCCTTAAATTAAAATTTTATTATAGTAAACTCTACCTGAAATTAACTGAAGAATGTAATTATGTTAGACTTTTAACTCCAAAACGTTTAGTTTTCAAAAAACCTATTTTTTTCAATCGCTTATAACTCGAAAATTATTGACTTCTCAACATTTTTGCTAAGGAAAAATCGTCTCCAAATTGGCCAGAGAATCCGCCCTTAATCATTGGTCCGTTAGTTACCGGACACCTTGTATATATTATATAAAAGTGTATAGCACGTCAGAAGCTTGTGAGCTTACAGCGATAAGTAAAAACAATTGCGTATTTATTTCATTGCGTTTATCTGTTTAAACGCGCGCTTTAATTTTTCCAACGTTTTTGCCTGTTTATATTTTAAAGGTCCTCTCTTCTAAAAATCTTGTTTTAAAGATCCTCTCCGCGAGCAAAATTCGAAAACATAAATTATTTAATATTTTTACTTTATTATTTGTAAATCCTCGGTAATTTCAAAATTTTTCTATTTGAAAATTATTAATTTTCTATTGCCAATTAATTTTATCACAGACTTTACTCTTACTCCCATTGCACTTTCGTTTGCGGTTTTCAGTATACGATTTTTTATCGTAGTTACTGCAAATTATTATTGTGAATTATACTTGTGCAGTGATTTGAAGAATTTACAATTTCGTTGAAATTGTTGATTTTTCAAAAAAATTACGAGATTCGCGGAAATTGCGTGCTTTCTTGGCATTTTCCGTTCGCGGCAGGCGGTTTATTTTTGATTGTTGCAAGTGTTTTTGTTTTTTTTTTATTAAAATAGATAATAATAATGTGAAATAAATCACGATATTTGACAGATGTGCATATATATAGAAATTGTAATAATAATAATATTATATCATAAAATTGTAAATTGTTTCAATTTTTTATAGACTGCGATAAAAGATTTTACATTTGGATAAGAAACTGCGGTAAGTAAAAATATAAAATTCTTGAAAACGTACCAAAAATATTTGATAACGTAAAAAGGTGAACTTTGAAAAATAAGGAACTTAAAAATTGCACTAATAAATGGGCTATATGTGAGCCGTGCGCGGATGTAAGGTGTGTTATATCGAAATTTAATTAATAGAATTGAGAATTAATCCCAATTTTAAGTCTTACAAATGTCCAAGCTAATTTTTTGTACCTCGTGTACATTTTTGAAAGTTATATCGAAAAATTAAATTTCAATATGCGTCTTACATCTCACATTTCGCATACGGCTCACATATAGCCTATTTATCTCTTATACTTTATTTCAACCCTTATAGAAATTTATTACTAGTAACGCCAATTTATCACTTATTTCGAGTAATTAATCACTTTTATTTCGAATACTTAAATTACTGTATATTATAGTATTTTAAATACTCAAAATAAGTGATTAATTGGCGTAGTGATAAATTTCTACAAGAGAATAAGGAGCCTTTAAATTCTTAATGTAAAAAATTTCAAGTAATTTTCTTTAATAAAATTTAATTAAAAAATTTAATTAAAAAATTTTTGAACAGTGTTATATCACATTTAAAATTGTGATTATTTCAATAAAAAAACATTTTATGTGTAAAAAATATATTTTTTATATTTAATAAATTTTATATATATATATGCATATATGTAAAATATTCTCTCTCTCTCTCTCTCTCTCTCTCTCTCTCTCACACACACACACACACACACACACACACACACAACGGGGCCAAATCTCTCAAATTGGTCTCATGATCAATTAGCCTGGATTCGCACCAGGGGCAAAGTCTGTTGGTAATGTCAAACGAATTTAGCCTGGACTTGCACCAGGGGCAAAGTCTTTTGGTCGAGTCTACGAAATTTAGCACGGACTCGAACCAGGGGCAAAGTCTTTTGGTTCAAGTCTACGAAATTTAGCACGGACTCGAACCAGGGGCAAAGTGTGTCGGTAAGGGGCAAAGTCTATCGCACGAAGATGGCGGTCTCTTCTTTAGGCAGGCCTTTGGCGATCTGTCTATTAATCTGTGGTACTGCGACCCTTAAACGCCATCATACGTTCCTACGAAACATTCCCTATTCCTAAAATTCCCCAGATCCGAAAAGTCAGTTCCAACTCTCGGTACACCAGGGTATAGTCGGTGCATGCAGATTGCCCTAAATAAATAGAGAGCTAACCCTTTCTTCCCAGACCTAGAGTAATAGAGGAGGAAAGAAGGTCACTTGGACGTGACAGGAGTAAAAAAGAGCATGTTGGAGCATGCGACGCGAACAAACCTTTTGTATATCTAGTGACTTTACACGAGAGGTGTACGCAATGAATGACCTTTATAATGACCGAGAATTTATTTCTCAACGTTGATAACCCTGAAATCGAAATTTCACGTTGTCACTACATCACAGAATCTCCAGTCTCCATCATTATTATCAATCTACCCGTCACGCCGGCATTGTCGATCTTTGATAAGACTGGTAAGCATCGAGAATATATTTATGTATATAAAAATAATATATATAATAATGTATATAAAAATTTCGTAACTCAGTACATATATATCCGTCATCATATATGTACTAAGTTACGAAATATATATATATAATGAATGAAGCTTCATCGCTTGAGAAGGATAGAGATATATATATCCTTCTCAAGCGATGAACGATCCGTTGAGTGACGTTTGACGTTCATTTTATTTTGTATGATTTTCATGTAATTTTCAATACCCCGTACACATTAAAAAAGATAAGCAATTAAATTTATTATTAAATTATTTAATCCTGTACATGGAAGCGTTGAAAAATCGGCAAAATATGTTAAGATTATTTTTTATTCACAAATTTGACAAAGTAATGAAAGTTCGATAAAACGTACACCTAACCTTTTTCTATATAGTATTTCTCTCTGTAGTAAGTATACTGATACGATTAACTAAATTTATTTTTTATCCATGCTTTAGCTTTCTTTATATTTAGATGAACAACTAAAGAAAATATTCCAATACTCAATGATAAAAGTTGACCAAACTGGCAATAATATATTATTGTCAATTTGGTCGATTTTTATCATTGAGTATTGAATTAATTATCACTGGCGACTGTACAGTTCATTATTTGGTTAAAGAAAATATCAAATTTTGTAATTATATTGAGATAATTTATAATTATTTTTTGTGTGATATAGAAATATTTTTGTTAAATTTTTAAAAAGTTTATGATTATAAATATGACATTTTTATCAATATATTTTGTTGCAGACTGAGAAATTTTGTAGAAAATAAAACTTTATTTTTGTTCAAATTTTTAATTTTATTGTTAGAGATACGATTTAAAAACTTATGGGTACCAATTTATCAAATCAGTATTGTAAATCGTACCAAATGCTACTTTTATTTAAAGTTTTAATGTACAATATAGTATTTAATGTACAATATAAGAAATTAATGAATTAAATTAAATAAATAAAATATTTTGTCATTTCTTTAATAATTTTATTATAATTTTAATATTTACCTTTGAAATTTACAATTTAGCATTTTTCCCCTACATATTTTTCTAACTTCTATAAATTTTTATAATTACATTACATTACATTTTTATTTTAACAATTTGCGCTTTATTTACTGCGCCAACTCGTATCTGCCTTTTTATCATTATTGATTTTTAATCTCTAAAGCCTTATCATTTGATATTTTTCTTTCACTTTTACAGATAATAATGTCTGCAACAAATATAAAAACGCTCGCCCTTGAGAACGTGTTGAAATTTTGAAATCGTTCGACACCGTATTAACCGATTGTGACGGTGAGTGAAAATTTTGCACGAATGCAAATTCTATCTGATGATGAGTTCTTGCAGACATCTTTTTCAGGAGTGCTATGGATGCATATGACACCTCTGCTGAATTCGTCGGATGTTATGAATCTGTTTCGCAAGCTCGGCAAACGAATCTTTTACATAACCAACAACAGCACGAAGACGCGCGATGATTTGGTGGAGAAATGCAGGGCACTAAAATTCCAGGCAAACAAGGAAGACATTTTATGCACTGCCAATCTGTCGGCTTGCTACCTTCAAAGTCTAGGTTTTTGCAAGAAGACCTATGTTATAGGTTCCGAAGGTAAATCTCGTGTGTTTGAATGAATTATTTCTGTATTATAAAATATATGTTCCGTGCGATCGTTTAATTTTATTTTTATACAGCAATTGCAAAAGAATTGGAGCAAGCTGGTATCTCGTATTATGGAATAGGACCGGATATAATTAATCAGGATAGTTCATATTCTGTTTTCAAGAAGGATCCAGATGTAGCTGCGGTTATAGTTGGTTTCGACGAACATTTCAGCTATCCTAAAATGGTAAAAGCAGCTACCTATTTAAATGATGCCAGTGTACATTTTATCGGTACCAATACGGATGAAGATTTCCGGTTTCAAGTGATGTTGTTATACCTGGTAGGTATCAAGATATTTTATATACAGAGACAAACTTATATCTTGGAAATAAAGCATATTTTAGAGGAAATTATTTCAGACTAAAGGTATAAGGGCTTTAAGAGAGATAGTGGCAAAATTTGACCTTGAACAGTCGCTTGAAGGTCATATAAAAGTCACCTTCAATTTTTGAAATGGAATCTATTTTTATTGCATATTCTTGTAGCTTATCTCGAGAGCTTTCCAAAACGTTATAATAAAATATTTTTCTCTTATGTACTTTTTGAGTTAAGATTTCAAGTTATTATAACAATTTACTGAGAAAAAATTTTAAATCTTTAAATTTAAAATTAAGAAAAGTTCGTAGTTGTATGTTACAAATTACATACTTTTTTAAACAATTATCTGTTTTCTTTACATCAATTGATTAGTCTTATTATTCCGTGCATAAAAGTATTAAGGTAAAATTACCGAAAATTGAATATTTTACAAGATATTTTTTTAAAAATAACTGTGAGACGACCCAACTGGCTTATTTTAGCCATTATTAAGCCAGTTGGGTCGTCTCACAGTTATTTTTAATTTTATTCATCACTGGCGATACAAGATACCTGCTATTAAGATATTTTTTGTTTATTTTTAATTTTTAATTTAATTATTAATTATAACTCAAAAGTACTTAAGAGAACAATACTTTATTATAGTGTTTTGGAGAGCCCTCGAGATAAGCTACAAGACTATGTAATGAAAATAGCAGGTTTCATTTAAAAAATTGAAAATAACTTTTATGTGACCTTCAAACGACTTAAATATATTTCCATTAAACACCTATAATTTCTCAATGCAGGTACAGGTAGTCTAGTTAGATGCATAGAAAGCTGCTCGGAAAGAAAAGCGATAATTATGGGCAAACCAGATCAATACATGGCTAAGATGTTGATGGAACGATCTAATATTGATCCCAAACGTACTTTGATGATTGGAGATCGCTGCAATACTGATATACTTTTTGGAACTCGTTGCGGTTTTATAACGCTATTAGTCCTGACAGGAGTGACCGCTTTGTCGGACGTTGACAGGTGGAAGCAATCCGAACAACAAGAAGAACGGGATCTTGTACCCAATTATTATATAGATTCGCTGGGTGACTTATTACCATATTTAAAGAAATTAGAATCTGAAATATCTTAACTCTCTATGAGATTTAGCAAAAAAAAAAGAGAAGTATGTGCTTCATAACAAATTAGTCAAGGCCATGTGATAATATAATTTTTCAGAAAGATATTTGTACATATATAATACACATACAATATATAATATATATATATATATATATAGATATATATATTGTATGTGTATTATATATGTACAAATATTCTTTCTGAAAAAATATTATCACATGGCCTTGACTAATTTGTTATGAAGCACATACTTCTATATATATATATACTTGTACATACATAAAAAGTGGAATATATGCACACATAAATCGGTTTATGTGTATAAAATTATCTAATATATAAAACAAAACATTCTAGATATTTACGTCAATTATATCACTTAAGACAAGTTATTTCGATTTTGTGATAAATTTTAATTATACCCGACAATTATAAATATGTTCGTCTTTTTTTAATCCTTTCCAAGTAGCAAGCATATGTCATTTTGACATCGAATGACATTATTTTGACGTTTAATGACGTCAATTTATTAGGTTATTTGAACCAGCCTTTATTCTTCTGTATAAAAAAAGATATAACTAATATTATATAAATTAAAGATATATATAATACATATATATTATAAATTTTGTATTCTATCTCGAGTTATTTTCAGCGAAAATATGTTTATCTTACGGAAATGAACGATTGAATAATAAAATGCGATTATTTATGTGAAAGTAAACGGGAAGTAACTTAATTTGCATATTGCGAGTACGAATGGAGGCGTGAAGCAAACACAAGTAAATCTTTCAGTTTTAATTTTCCAACCCCATATTTATTTTGGCAATATGTGCCTTTTATATGAAAAAGTACACCTTTTTCGAGAAGAATGACATATGTTTCGGATGAGGCTATAAGAAGGGATAATGCGTGAACGAGAAAAAGAGAAGGGAAAGAAGTTGACAGGATGTATGCAAAAAGATCGTGATAATACAATATATTATTCAAATATATGTATGATAATGATAAACTTAATGGTAAATTGATAGATAGATAGATATAGCGAAAGAGAGATACAGAGATTCGTAATCTTTACTTTATAGATTTATAAAACTCATAACAATGAAATATATATATTCAACGCGTTATATCATTATGATATACAAGAAGCACGATACGTGTATTCATGTTATGTGTTTATGTTTATTTTTTTTTAGTGCATGTGTGTATATATATCTTATCCTTTCTAAGTTTATCAGAGTCTTCCGATTCTCTTTCTAATTTCTGCGGAGAAGAGAGAGAGAAAGAGAGATGCCTATATCTTACATAGACACATCAAAATATTAATTTCAAAGAGTTTGAGTCGTAAAATTTTTAACAGCTAATCGTTAAACGGCTTCGATGCGTAAGTATTAATAGCAAGACAGCGTAACATTCATCGCCAACATACGCTAACGGTCATAAAATGGGTAATATTAAGAGACCCGTATCTTTTCATATTGATACAATAATCGGCAAGAACCTTCGTTAATCGCCTTAAATATATATTACACATTCTCTTCGTTTCCATTATTTTTTTCTTTTTTTTTTCAATTTCAATATACTGAAATTTCCGAAAATTTGTAAATCACAGCTTAGTCATACGTCGAAAACGATATAACGCATTCAAGATATACGCTTTAATTTATACGTCGATTGAGGAGATCCGATGATAAATATAAATAATTTAATTTCTTATATATCTGTTTTCGAATCACACACACACACATATATATATATATATATATATCATACATCTTTCGCGGACTAGGAGAGTTTTACGCGATAATAAACGCTGTTTAACATAATAATCTTGTTGAATGCGTTTACACATATATATATATATATATATATATTGTGTGTGTGTGTGTGTAAGGGGGAAAAATATCGGGAGAGAGCTTTTCGGGACTTGATCCTATCCTAGGATCCTTTCCCCTTCAGTAGGCAAACACTGTCATATTCAACACTCTGTCATTGTATTTTCTCCTCTCGCTTAGATATTTTCTTTACACACGTAATATTTTAAGTGTTTTTTGCATATTTTTTTATGCCACATATAAAAATGTGTTATCAGAATTTTCTCTATCATTTTATTTTTATATGATAGAGAAAGAAAGAGAGAGAGAGAGAAAGAGTTGATTTTTTAAGTAACGCTAAAAGAAAAGAGAAATATGCTTTAAAAAGGCATATAATCGCTTTTTCTTTTATTGCCGTATTACACTATCCTCTCGCAGACGAAATTTGTATTCACACCTCCATAAAGATCTTAATCCAAACATCGATGCAGCCTTAAAAGGTATATATATATATATATATATATATATATATATATATATATATATATGTGTGTGTGTGTGTGTGTGTGTGTGTGTGTGTATATATATATATATATATATGTAGAATCGCCATCGATATATCGCAATCAAAAGCTTAATTTTAAATTGCCTTAAACACATATTAAAAAAATATGCCTTACATATAATCTCTATTTTTTAAATGTGCGTTTAAGACGTTTTTTGATAAGTAAGCTGTTCAGTGTTTTTTTTTGTTTTTATTTCGTAGAACGTCTTCGCGCTTCCCTCTCGTTCTCTATTGAATTATTACGCATTAGTGATTAGTCTTATAATTGGCACTCGCGTATTTGTAAATAATCGAACAATTTGATAACAAGAGGATCCAAAATTCCTCGTGATTTCAATCATAAACAATTTAGATAACAAAGGAATAAAGCAGGATGATGATTAAAAAATGAGGGATCCTATACGTAAATGCGTAGTCATTTAATATATTACTTGGAGAACTGACGAATATTTTACTTTTTCGCTATGTTTTTACGTTACATTATAATGCTGTATATTATAACAAAAATTAATAACGGGCAATCCTAGAGAGGAGAGAAAAATTTTAATTTATTAGTATAATATAAATCAACGAATTTTTAAAAAATTTTATATAAGACGCATCGTTCTAGGATTTTTCTGATACAGAAAAAGAGTCCACATTTTTAATACATCCAATGATGAAATTACACCGCAAATATATCAGTATTTTTATAAAATGTTACTATATAGTATATATAAGTGCGATATTTTTAGTCAAAATTGTATCGCGACACAGTGATAATTCGGTGGATTTCTAACAAAAATTGTAAAACACCTAATGATATGCCGTAATTTTTTATCAATAAATAATTTACAATTGTACAGAGGGGTTCAAATATATGTCGCCGAACTTAAAAATAGATTCTACTACAAAAGAATAATTAAAGATTTTGTACATTTTTCATCATATAGAATATTTAATAGTTTTAAATTGAATTTTACAGTAATATACATTAAACATTAAAAACTATTTTTTCATCACAGAAAACCATGTCGTGCTATTTTAAAAAATAACACAGTTTTGTTCTTGTAAATAACCTTTTTGAAGCAGTGCTTATAAAATTTGTATTTATAATTCTTAAAATTGAAATCAAAGGATCCTATGAAAGGATTTTTCTTTTTAAATTATTTTTCTAAAAGTTTTATCAGAATTTTTATTCCTTTTTTAAATTCGATAATAAATTATTTTTCAATGTTTTCCTTTACTATTGATAGAACTTACAAAAATATCTAAAAATTTTTTCAAATTTATCTAATACTTTAAAATTTAAAATGAAGTACATAAATCAGACGCCACAAATCTAGAAGTTTATTATTGTAATGTCTTAAAAACAAGTTAATTTGTATATTTATATTTATATGGATATATTTATATTTATATTTTTATTTATATTTTATTTTTTCCAATATAATTTTTGATTGGATGACAATAGTTTATTGTTCGATCCATTTTTTTCCTGCTATATATCTATATATAAATGCATATACAATCGAGCGACATAAATTAAATTACTCTGTATCTTCTCTATGAACTGAAAAAATAAAAAATCTTATTCTTTTCTTTCTTTCTGGAATATCGCTGGAGTGACGCGATTATTATGATTGTCGACGAAAATCGAGCATTTAATAATCACATGCTTTATGAAAATGGACGAAATATGGAGAGGATTGCATATTATGCCTTCAAATAGTCTAATAGAAGAATATGTATGTATGTGATATGCGTGTTATGTGCGTATGAATATGCGTTCTTTATATATACAGGGTGTTCCAAAACTATATGGGGCCTTCCTTGCTTTCCTCTACGAAACTTCCAACTAACAATTTAACAATTTAAAATATAAAATCTCAAATTAACACAAATTAAAAAATTAACTAATAGATGAGAAGAATTTAATTCTTTGTTATAATTTTGGATAAAATTTTATGACAATTGTTAGATTAAATCAAGTTAGGCTAGATTAGGTGTTGTAATTTTTCTCAAATTGGTGTTGTAAGAAAACTTTTGGGAAGTGTGCGATTTTTGCGACACCCTGTATACAAATGTACACGTGTAGCCCTTACGTGTGGCACACATCCGTGTTTAAAGATTAACAAATAAATACAGATATATATAGATACATGCACGTCGGGCTGGGTATGTGTGTCCAAGCCGACGCGCCATAAATCTAGACCCGCATTTGTATTTCACATTTGGTCTTCCAAATGTACAGTCTCACAAATCTCTCACACAAACAATAATATATAATATAATTCTTGTTGGACAAAAACCGAAATGCCTCGTCGCGACGGTCGCTTTTAGCGCTAAATGCAAAATATAAATGCGAGTCATAACAAATCGGTAGATCGTCTTATAAAATAATTAAATGAAAACATTTGTACTTTAGCAGTATAGAGCAGTCATTTTTTTGTCGTAATTATTTACTCTTAATATAATCGTTATCTTTCCTTTATATTATATTTTATACATATAATATATGTAATATATATATATTATATATATATATATATATATATATACTTTTTTCTTTAAGAATAATTCCCGCTTCCCTTAGCACGCCGATCATTCATCATCCTTGTCGTCGCCCACATCGTCATCTTTGTAACTATAGTATACACTTTTT